GAATCTGTATTTTAATTGAACTCAACCTAATTGTTTAACACAGTCCTTACCTAGCTCATCATTTTATAATTCCAACTTCAAAATATTATGTGTAAATTGCTTCTTCCGGAGGAAAAAGAAAAGCAAAAGATATTGATGAATCATTCTGCTTTTATTGATTGAATATTTTGTATAGATTTATCAGTCTCCCTCCTTTGTCAAAATGACTTGAGTTTACATATATGGAGAGTTTGCGTTCTTTTGAAGTTTATGCTTGAATTACTGGTCATATTAGTCAGTGGTGGTACTATTATGAATATTAATATCCAACATCCGTGTCTGTGTCTGTGTACCTCATTATTATCTATCTTTATGCAACCTTTTGGAGCAGGAAGGAGCATCCAAAGAAGACATTGATCAGTTGTCCAAATTTAAATTTCAAAGGGTTGGTGATACTGATAATGATAAGCTTTCCAGTGATGCACAAGTAGGAGGAGTAATGACAGAATGTGGCACTGATTCACCTGTCGAACATGTGCTTTTACAGGATGATGCGGTTTGTGGTTCAACTCTGGTTATCTTTTTCCAAAATAAATATTTCAATTTTATATTTTTGCTTTGTTTAATTGACGTTTCTAAACATTCATGATGTGATTCTTCTCTTGTCATTCAGAACTACAATTTAGAATTAGAGCACGTGTGTTTAGATATGCTTGCGCAAACTTTAGAGTTCACGTTAATCTATCCACCACATGCATCCATGCATTTTTTTTTTTTTTGAAATAAAAAGTACACGAAGTATATTAATATGGTATCAAGGGAGATACCACCCATTTACAAAATATTTACAAATCTATTAATATATCCATTATATCCCCAAAATCTTTCCACGTATAATGTCAATGCCCCAAAATAATGTAACCATCTATCCCTAATTTTAGATATCCCTTCTTCTATCCCTTCAAAAGCTTTACTATTATTCTCTTTTCAGATCACCTAAAAAATAGTCAAATGAATAAGTTTTACAATATCTTTTTTTTACATATCCTCTCTGAACCCCAAATCTCATCCCCCCACTTGGGTACTGGCGGAATCTGTTCATGATGAACTCTTGGCTTGGGAGGGTTTAAACTCGAGCAATCATGTTAATCGCCTTATCTCCCTTACTATATTTTGGACTATTTGGAAAGAAAAAAACAATAAGGCTTTTGATGATAATGAATATACTATTGTAAATGTTAAGAATAAATGGTTACATTGTTTTGGTTCCATCTTTTTGGGTCATAACTTATTATTTTTCGATGATATTGGAGCTGTTATCGATATTCTCTTAGATATGTAATACTTTTGTACATGGGCGGTATCCCTTTGGTACCATTTTCTAATAAATCTATAACTTCAATCTCAAAAAAATACTACAGTCCAAAACTCATACACCATTGGGCACAACAAAGGAATGTGATTACAGGACTCAGCAACTCTTTTACACAGATAACAACCATTCACCATTGTTCTTTTCATTCTCATCAGTTTATCAATTATCAAAATACATTATCTTCCCACTTCCCAAGCAAAAGAAGTAATTCTTAGAGGAGCCTTCACTTTCCATATTTGTTTAGCAGGAAACTTTACCACCCCTTCCAGATGTCTACCGACTAGGTGGTTATGAAAAGACTTAACAGCAAACTCCCCATTCTTCTTCAATTTCCAGACAATCTGGTTCATATCATCATTTAGTTGCACAGTGGACAAGAGTAACAAGGCTTCATACTCTTTAATCTCTCAATGTTGAGATTCTGATTCACATTCACTATCCACTCGCTGCCACCATTCCCATCTCTGTAAGATTCTTCCACGCTGATACTCTTCGATTGTGCAATGGCATATACCCGCAGGAAATGAGTCTTAAGACTTCCCCTACCAACACACTCATCCTCCTGAAAGAGAATTTTATTCCCCCTGCTCACCTTCCAATTGATACATTCTTTGAATTTTTGGCTTTCCATACTTAACTTCTTCCATAATCCCCTCCCATGAGGTCTAGCCACTTCTCTAGCAGTCCCTCCTCCTTCTATGCTCCCCCAACGAGTCTCAACGATTCTCTCCCACAACTTATCTTTCTCACTCATATATCTCAAAATCCATTTCTCCTGAAGGGCAATATTCATTTCAACAAAGGACCTTGACCCCAAATCTCCTTACTCCAAAGACAACTTCACCTCTTCCCACTTCATCAGATAAAATCTCCTTCTCCCCTCGTTATCTCCCCAAAGAAAGCAATAATGAGTAGCTTCCAATCTTCTCACAACCTTCATTGGCATTGTCAAAGTAGATAAATAATAAATAGGAAGATTAGTCAACGTGCTTTTAATGAGAGTTAATTTTCCACCTTTAGACAAAACTTACTTTTCATCCTGTTAGTCTTCTCTCAAACATCTTGATCACTAGCATATATCCATACATGAAAAGAAATATACAGTCGTATCTCTTTTAGCATATGAACCATTGTGTACATAATTTTGTTTCAACAAATAGGGTTGCTATAGTCACTAGTAAACCTGTACTACAGACTTTGTCATCAACAAGTGATAGTCATGTCTAACAAAAGTATGATGAAATTGATTTCTTCTTTCTCCTTCCTAATGAAAAGGAGAGAACCATTTTGAGTGGTTTGAACCAAGAAAAACTATGCTCACTTCAAGAATGGTTTTGAATATTTGGTCATGTGCAGGAGTGTTGCATCTGTCTGTCTCCTTACGAAGATGGAGTTGAGTTACGTGAACTTCCTTGCGGGCATCATTTTCACTGTGCTTGTGTAGATAAGTGGCTGTATATAAATGCAACGTGTCCTCTCTGCAAGTACAACATTTTGAAGAGTAGTAGCCATGATAGGGAGGAAGTATAAAAGCTTTCCAAGCAAGTATGAATGTTTGGTCTGTGGGATCTGCGTACAAATATAGCTTGAGGGCATTCTCCCGCATGACGTGCTATTAGTTTCAATGCTGGTTCTCTTCTCAATTCTCGATGTTTGTAGTCTTGGTGACAACAGTATTTTGCCTTTTTCTTGAGTCAGTGTATATTGTTCTCTTTCGACAACACAGGATCGCTAACTAAGGCTAGAGCACATGTGTGACTATTCTGGAAGGCTTTCATGTGTTGCGAGCAACGTTAGCGAGGTGTTTCAAGGGTACTTTCTTGAGCAAGATATTGTAAGAGATGTTTGTAGTTTCTTTTTCTTTTTTTCTTTTGGGGGGGGGGGGGGGTGGTGCAAGATATTAAGGTATATTTCATAATGTGCTTTATGTTGTTTGTGAATTAAGATGATGAAGGGAGAAAAAACCTGAGTTCTATACTTGTTACATATGTTGTGAAGTAGAGAGTAGAAATAAAACTCCTATCCACAGACAGAGCCACCCTGCCACGAGGGCTTTGTATTTTTTCCTCACCCCTATCCTACAACTTGGGAGCCGCTTAATGATTGTGTTTAAGAAATTATCTCCTTCCAAATTGTTTTCTGAATTTTCCTTTTCAATTTCTTCTATTTTTTAGCGTGCTTTCTCAATTTTCTAATATCTTATTTTTATTTATTTTTCTTATTCTCATATTCACATCCGTATACTTCCTTCTCCTTCAAATCCCACCTCCTCCTCCTTATTTATTTCTTCTTTTGGTTCATTTTTTTTTTCCTTATAATGCAGACTTATTATCCCTATTTTAATATTTTCCTTGATTATTATTCCAATCTTTATAATTTTGTAATAATTGAAGATGCTAAATTGGTGGTTTGAGGTGGAGAAGTCTAATCCTGCATAACTTGTTGGATTGTTGCTCCATTTAAAAAGGTTAACATTGTTGTTGCTTTATAATATGATTATAATGTTATAATTAATTATCAATAAAACTAATTAGTATCTGTTCTCATTTTACACTTGTTGTACTCTTCCTAATCAGTCACCTACTGAAATTTTTATCACGTATGTGCATTTGGAAGAAAAAGATAGAAACCTTGAAAATCAATTTATTTCTTACTTATCACCTCATATTGGTAATATAATATCAATCCTTTTGATCATCTTGTAAGTTAATTTAGAAATTGATTCACATGCAATACGAGATGAGAAACATCTTTTTCTCCCCTAACAAAAAGTACAAATCATTTATCTCTTTCTCATTTAGAAAACTAGTACCATTTGATTATACTAGTAGTTTAAAATAAAGCTAAAATTTTATATATTAAAGTGTAACATGTTAAAAAATTTTATGAGTAAAATAAAAACTTGGTCATATTGTTTAAGTACTTATTGTATTCATGACTGTCAACTAATTTAAGCAAAGATAAATTACAAAAATATTATTTAGGTAACATCAATATATAAATAGCAGTGTTATAAATCTACATCTTCATAAATGTGTAAATATCAATTATTTAATTAAAAAATAATTAATAACTCAGGAAACAAATAATTAAGCACGGGGAATATAGTTTTATAGTCAGATTTAAAATTAATCTAATTTTCTAAAAAGGTATTAACTAATATTTTTATATGATTTCGATATAATGGTATTCCTATAAAAGTAGAATTATGACAATTATTTTATAATTTAAATAATTATTTCGTAATTTACCCTTAAAATAATTAGAAGCATGAAGAATCTTGGAAGTGGTAATAAGGTCCCTCCGTTTCTTTTTGGGCCCTGCTTTTTCTCGCTTCGGAAAATATGACTTCTTGTTTCGTCGTGTCGCTCACCTCTACAGTGGAAAGGAGCCACATCCCCGGCTAATTCAGAACCCTTGCCTCTTGCTTGGGAGTCTCGTTTCTTTTATACATATGCACGTGTGCGTGGTTTGGTAAATTCAGTGTGCCCAGATAGCAATGGAGCAGAGTTCTTTGCTACAACGTTACCGTGATGATCGCCGCAAGCTCTTGCAATTCCTCAATCCTCTGGTTTGATAAGAGAGCTTCGGACTCCTTCCGGTCCAACCGCTTCTCTATCCGGCATCAATTTGGACACTCTCAGTACTGATTACATACTCGAATGTGTTAAGTCCGGTGAGTTATGC